AATTTGTTAATGCGTAATTCATATTGAATTGTAATTTATTAATGTGTAACGTATATTTCATCGTCATTTATTACCGTGTAATTTGTATTTGATTGAAACCTATTATTGTGTAATTAATTATTACGTGATCATGTGTGACGTACTTCTCGTACTAAAACTGTTCAAAGCATTGAAACATGATTTAAAAATCTTGGCTTCGTTGGTCACCGTTGAGCTCGATGGAATTCGACGCGTTAAACAAATAGAATTTTAGGCAAAACGGGCACGAACGATCGTTCCTAAAAGACGAAGAACGTTACACGTATACGGCGCGTGTCTCGCAAGTCTGGCAGGACTAAGCAATTGTCGTCGTTTTTCATTTCGCGCGCCGTGGTACGATCCCCGAACAATGCAACTAATAAACAAGACGGCGTAAACTAATCGCGCTGCAAGATTGATGAAGCAATTAGAAAGCCCATCGACCGGCTAAACGCCGTTCAGCATCGTGGAACACGGAAAGAAGCGAGGCAATAGGAAATGGAAGGTGGCAGGATCAATTGGATAAATAACACGTGGGAAGTCGACGATCCGGCGAGAAGATGGCGGCGCGGGACGTCGAAAGGAAACGGTCTGGGTTAGGCGAGTGAGCGGCACCGGAAATGCGTTCGAATAAATGCTGGAGCGCGTGGGTAAGCGCGCGTGCGAAAACGCGTACGCTCGCGAGGGAGAAGGCGCGAAACGCGAAATAATCAACGAACTCGTTCGAACGGTATCTCGTACTCCTACGAATACCGTATCCGACGCTCGCCTCCGACTAATTCGCCGATGTTAATGACAGTTAATTGACAGGCTACCGAGACACCGCCGCCGCCGCAACGCCGCGCCGTTACACCAGACCGAAACGGCGCGACGCGGCCACCGCCGGCATTGTGCAACAACGATATGCACTGCATGGTCTGCGCCGCTGGAAACTTTGCAATCGCTTCTCCCTTCCTCGACGATGTTACTCATCGTTCGCATTCGAATAAACGACGTGTTGCGACGGCGACACCGAAGGTCGAACGTCCCTGGCCATCCCTTGAGCAATTAAGCGATATACCTGCGACAGTAAAAAATGCATCCGAACGAAAATACCCTTCGACCCGACGAACGGACAACGCGACTCATAAATTCCATATTTCTCAAAACGGAAAAATTACAACCCGAACTTTCGAACAGTTTCCCACTCCTCATTTCAAGTTCCTTCCGACACACCCATCTCCAATCAAAAACGCTTCACCGATCAACAAAAAAACCGAGGTGACAAGCGGAAGGGCACCTAGAACTGTCAGAACTGTCAGAACTGTTAGAACTCCCAGAACTCGTAGAACTCTAAGAACGCAGATAGAACGCAAATAACGCATCGCTAAGAC